AATAATGTACAACCATATCAACAAATTCTTGAAAAAAACCTTTGGAAAGATATAATGAAAAAATTTATGGCTTCAAAACAGCCAATATTATCAACTGTTCTTCCACCTCGCGTAATTTTAACATCAGAATTACCGACTAGAGTTACTGAACCATTTTCAATAGTCATTAATGAATCACATGCTGCCGAAATTGCTTCATGGGTTGATAGAGAAGTTAATTCATATTCCGTAACAAATAATCCATATAATTTTAAATTACTTATTCGTGGAACGAAAGATGGTTTCACTGCCAATTCGTTTTGGAATTTATGTGATAAGCAAACAAATGTTGTTGTAGTTATGAAAGTTAGAGGCACCGACGAAATTCTTGGGGGATATAATCCTGTTGGATGGGATAACCCAGGTACAAGTAATTTTTTTAAGAATTGCAATGATAGTTTTATTTTTTCATTGAAAAATGGTACTATTCAAAATTCTATCTTAAGTCGTGTAAATAAACCAAACTTTGCAATTCGGTGCATTCCGTCTTATGGTCCAATTTTTGGTTATGGTAGTGATCTTGCCATGAGTACTAATCCTGATAAGGATCAAGGATGTTGGCAATTTCAAAATGCATATGAAAAGAGAATTAGAGATGCTTTTACATACAACAGTTATAATAAGTCATATTTTTCAATAGAGGAATATGAAGTATTTAAAATTAATAAAAAAACCCCCTAAAAAAGTATTATAACAATTAATTTAACTTATGAAACAATATAATATATTTTTGTAGATAAACATAAAGCTTTATTAATCTCTTATTTTTTAAATTTATATCCTGTTTATCAAAATTAAAATTTTCATACATAGTTGTTTATAGATACATATTAACTGTAGTTCAGACAATCCATGGACATGACTCAGAGCCGAAGACATACCCATATTTAACCTTAAGTGTACACCTCTCTAAATATATACTCTAGCTTAGTCCCAAGTTTGGAACATAGCGCCAAGTGTACACTTTTTACTCTCTAAATGCGCATCATGTAATTTTAATCCGTAATATGTGGTAACGATTATTATTAATTAACAAAAAAAAACTTAAAATTCTATCTTGATTTTAAATATATTAAAATCACATAATATGCATTTAGAGAGTAGAGAATGTACACTTAGTCTATGGATTTAGGGTAGTTAGGAAGATTAATTTTATTAATTAATTAAATATTAGGGTTAGAGTTAAATATGGGCATGCCCATTGGGGTGTTCGATGTACTATGCAAATCAAAACTATATATGGCATCATATAAAAATCTGTTAATAAAATTTTTTTGATTTTACATGTATTATAATAATTCTTCATGTACTGTATTTTAAATAGATGCACAATCCTAATGGTCTGATAGTTTTAAGATAAAATTTTGTAATGACCAGTATTATGTCTCTACAAACAAAGCTATAGAGCCATTTCTTTTATTCAACCATGAAAACATTCAAAATTCTGCTTAAAAAAGAAGTCTTTTTTTTTTTTTTTTTTTTTTAAAAAAAAAAAATGATAGTTTAAAACACAACCCTACTTGCAATTAAGTAAGAGAAAGAAATGAGAGTGTTTGGATCAAAATAGTTTATGATGCAATTTATAGTAAAAATTATTATAAGAGTTGACCGTACCCGCTGATTTTGTTTGTACCCTATAATTTAGTATGTTTTCTGATAATAACATTAACGTCCAACCAATGAGATCACTTATGAACCAATGAGTTTTAGCTATGTCTATATATTTAATTAAGTTAAAAAAAAGTCCAAAAAACAAAATCAGCGGATATGTTAAAGATAAAAAGACTTTTGAATAGTTTATTCAAAGAAATGCGTCACTTATTTCAACGGAAAATTAGATGCTCGCAATTTAATTCTGAAATCCCCAATATGTAAAAGTCAAATAAATAAAATTATTAAAATTGATCAAGTAGTTGTTGAGGTATCTTCAATAAAAGACTTGATAAACATTTTGTTAAAGGGACTTAAAAAAAATTTTGAAATTCAAAATTGATTTTGATCTTGAGGAGTACTAGAAACAACGTCCTCTTTATGTGAGTGTTGCAGAATGAAAACTTGGAAATGAAGAATTATATAATATGAGATTAAGGTTTTTACTCTACAGCATTTATAATATTTATTAATAACTTTGAACTTGTGTGTTATATATCGATTTGTTCCTCGATCTGTTTGGACTATGAAATCACTATTTTTCTATGTAATTATTTATATTTTTTTTATTGTCTAAAACGTAGCAGAGTCGTTCAACACTGGCCAATCAGTGAACTACAACGTGGCTTTCCCAAATTATCATAAATCTGGCCATCTGTAATACGGAAGGCACCATAAACGAAATTATGACTTATTTAGCTGTCCGAATAAATACGAAACAGTTGCAAAAATTTTTTCTCAGCTCTTGCTTCTTGTGCTAAGGGTTTTAATTTCATGCACATATCGGTATATATAATTAATATTTTCTTTAAAAAAAAAAAACTTGACTTTATAACTTAAGATGGCAGTAAAATTCTTTGAAAAACTTTCAAATAATTATCTTGGACTTCTTGATGACAATGAAGATTTTAATATATTCATTAATGTTGGTGAATCTCCAAACATTAAGATGTTTAAGGCACATTCAGCAATTTTAAGATACAGATCTTCATATTTTCGTAATGAAATAGCCAATATCGGTAAAGATAAGAATAATATTAAAACACTTAATTTAAAACATGTTTCCATCCAACAATTTGAAATTATAATCAAGTAAGTTATTCAATATTATAATATAATTACAAGAATTACAAGAAATAATCTAAAATATATTTAAATTTTATACAAAGATATATTTATGGGGGAGTAATCTTGCTTGAAAAACATAATGCATCATTTATTTTTGAGCTTATGCTTATTGCTTATGAATTCCTTCTTGAAGAATTGGCCAAATATCTCGAAACTCATTTAGTTGAAGAGAAAGCTCATTGGCTTCTTTTAAATTTTAATCGTATTTATCAAAAAAGTTTTCAGGGTAATAAGCTTCAAAAATTACGAAAATGGTGCAATGATATTGTAGTAAAGTATCCAAATAAGGTTTTTGATTCTGAAAGCTTCATATCACTTCAAGAAAATGCACTAGTATCACTTATTGGTCGAGATGATTTACAAATGGAAGAAGTAAAAATTTGGAATCATGTTATTAAATGGGGAATTGCTCAAAATCCCGGACTACCGCCCGATCCTGAAGATTAGTCCAATGAGAATTTCCTAACCTTAAAGACCACTTTACAAAATTTCTTACCTCTTATCCGTTATTTTCAGATGTCTAATGAAGATATTATTAATAATGTACAACCATATCAACAAATTCTTGAAAAAAACCTTTGGAAAGATATAATGAAAAAATTTATGGCTTCAAATCAGCCAATATTATCAACTGTTCTTCCACCTCGCGTAATTTTAACACCAGAATTACCGACTAGAGTTACTGAACCATTTTCATCAGTCATTAATGAAGCACATGCTGCCGAAATTGTTTCATGGGTTGATAGAAAAGTTAATTCATATTCCGTAACAAATAATCCATATAATTTTAAATTACTTCTTCGTGGAACGAAAGATGGTTTCACTGCCAATTCGTTTTGGAATTTATGTGATAAGCAAACAAATGTTGTTATAGTTATGAAAGTTAGAGGCACCGATGAAATTCTTGGTGGGTATAATCCTGTTGGATGGGATAAACCAGGTTCAAGTCCTTTTTATAAGAATTGCAATGATAGTTTTATTTTTTCATTGAAAAATGGTACTATTCAAAATTATATTTTAAGTCGTGTAAATAATCTAAGCCGTGCAATTCGGTGCGTTCCGTCTTATGGTCCAAGGTTTGGTAATGGTGATCTTACCATGAGTGCTAATCCTGATAAGGATTATGGATGTTGGCAAATACCAAATACATATGAAAAGAAATTTAGAGATGCTTCTGCATACAACCATGATAATGTAGCATATTTTTCAATAGAGGAATATGAAATATTTAAAATTAATAAAAAAAACGCTTAAAAAAGTTTTATAACAATTAATTTAACTTATGGAACAATATAATATATTTCTGTAGATACTCTATTAATCTTTTATTTTTTTTAAATTTATATCCTGTTTATCAAAATTAAAATTTTCATACATAGTTGTTTATAGATACATATTAACTGTAGTTCGGACAATTCATGGACATGCTCATATTTAACTCTAAGTGTATACCTCTCTAAATATACACTCTAGCTTAGTCCCAAGTTTGAGACATAGCTCTAAGTGTACACTTTCTACTCTCTAAATGCGCATCATGTAATTTTAATCCGTAATATGTGGCAACGATTATTATTAATTAACAAAAAAAAACTTAAAATTCTATCTTGATTTTAAATATATTAAAATCACATAATGTGCATTTAGAGAGTGTACACTTAGTCTATGGATTTATGGTATTTAATTTTATTAATTAATTAATATATGGGCATACCCATTAGTGTGTTCGATGTACGTTGTAAAGGTCTCCGGAACCCCCGACCCTACCGATTCGAAGCGGCCTATTTTTTTCCTTTTTCTTTATTTATTTTTATTATATGTTTATCTGTTTTATCAAAATATCATTAGCTAGCTCGCTTGTAGTAATTAACAAATATGTATGATAGTCTTACCTCGAAACCTGTAAAAGATCATCATTACCATAAATAGATCAAATCAATATTCAAAATGTGACATATGTGGCATTTATGGCATATAGAACACATAGAGCATTTGTGGCAGATCTGACACATATAACCTATCTGACTGATATGTCATATCTGACATATCGGACACATATTGGATATGTTCCAAATGTACCTACTAGTATTACAAAAAGTATAAAAGTGATACTTTCTTCCCTTTGAATAAAGCAACTCAAGTGAGTTCAAAAATAGTTGACTAACTTTGAAATATGAGTAGAAGTGTTATACTAGAAAAGTTTTATTATTTGAAAACATCATTATTGATAAAAACCTCTACCTAAGTACTCGTGATAGTAAAGTTTCATAATCATTGTTAGATTGCCAAATCAGTAAAATAATCAATTGATCACCTCTAGATAGTCTTATAGAAAAACCCTTTACGAATAAGAATTTCTATTATTAAATCAATAATTAATCAGATTGAAATTCAAATTATGTGTTCTGTGATAAGACTATTTTTACAATCTGACATATATACTGTATTATCAGTTGTTCAGGTTAAACATTTGGTTAGATCTAATTGATATTGGTTATATGATTTAAGAATGATATTTGCAACTAACAATTCTGAACATTGGGATAAGTCTTCAAGTTCTAATAAGGAAACTTTTGGTTCATTTGCAACTAAATTCTAATATATAAAACAAATAATGAATACTTTGCTATCACTACGTGTTAACTCATCTACTATTATTCCAAAAGTAAACCACTTAGAAATTTTTGAGATAGCATATTGCTAAATTATATGTATATTTGAAACATCTTGATGCCATCTAACAAGTGTGCTAACAGAGAACTACTTATCTGGCTCTTTGTCTATTAGCTATTCATTTACTTTTTTTATGCAAGCTACAGCAGATCAATAAGACATTTGACCAATTTCACAAATTTGTGTAACTATTAAAACAGTTTCAGAGCTATACTGTTTTTTGTTTTTCATAAGTCAATCTTGAATGGCTAACTTTAATTGTTTATTGATGATTGTTAATGTTTTACATGCCGCAGAATATACTAATGAAATTTTTTTTTTATGAACTTGTTTGAATTTACTAACACTATCATATAAATTTTTAATAATTTTTTTTAAATGATTAATTTTTTGAATTGATGGCTTTCTAGATTTAATACAACTTGAACAGTATAACAATTTTTCAATAAAATTATAAGCCTTTTGTTGTACATACTTTGAAAAAATCTTGCCAGTTTTAGGCCCTTTACTATATCTCATACGATTTAATAATGATACTTCAAAACTCAACTCACCATCATCTATATTCGTTGTTATATTTAACAATAAACTCCACACTTATAAATATTGTGGTTGGTAAAATTATACTTGTACAAGTTTTTCGGTTATATTTATTAAAGTTGTTAGAATTGAGTCTGGTAAATCAACTGTGTA